CCCCATTTTACAGATAAGAAAACTGGAGACAAAGATGGAGTGATCTGCCCATGGTTACACAGCTAGCAAGTATGTGAGAACAGATCTGAACTCAGGTCTTACTTCTGACCAGGTCCAGTGCTCTATCCACTGTGCCACCTACTGCATCTGCTCATTCTACTTCAGATAATCATAAATGCCTCTTTTTTTAAAAGGTAAGATTGGTTTTAGTTTAGGGGGGTCATCTTTCAAAAATACTTGGGATAGTTATTAAATAACAGAATCATAATTATAGAGCTGAAAGGGACATTAGAAGTTATTGAATCCAACCTCCTCTATTTACAGATAAGGAAACTGAGACCTAGTTAAATTAAATAATTTTGAACTCATATCTTCCTGCCTTTAAGCCCTTCATGTTAGTTAGCCACAAAACTAAGTTGCCACTCATTAGGAGTATAGCATCTAAAATGGAGGAGGGGTGGGGGGAAGAGCCCAGAGGCAAAGTTCTAATTCATATAATCATAGAGGGAAACCAGAAAATTTCTTTTCGAGAGAGAAAATTAACACTAAACGTATACAGAAACACATAACAAATAACACTAAACAAAACAGAAATCAAAGGCAAATTGAAGAGGGAATTTCATGTTAGGCTGCTAACCTTCTCATTGTGTTCAAAGAGGATATATTCCAAAATACAGAGTGCCAAAGTGATTTCCTCATTGTGCATGAGGAAATTCGAGAACCCATACGGCAACTCTTCTATCACTTAGTAGACTGGTTTCTGGAACCCACTATGGCTGAAAAATTCCTCATTATTCAGCCATTCTGGTGATAACCCTCTCCAAATTTAACTAAGCTAGTCCTAGGACAAAAGACATACATTCCACCCCTGGGCTTGTATTTGAAACTTTCCTACCCAGTCCCCACAAACCCCTGAATTTGCTGAAATAAGATACAGTTCATTTTAACAGCAACAAGCTCATTACATTTTCTCCTTCAATCATCTTAACTTGATTATACACTTTGTAAACTAGCAGTGTACTATATTATTAAAATTATTTGACTAGGGATAACATATCTTTAAATTTCAATCTTAGTTTAAGACACTGGCAAGGTAAATCTGTGTCTGGTCAGCATATAATATAATCAATAATATAACACAATAATAATACAGCCACTCATGCTGACATGTAACGAGTATGAGATTAGGACTCACTGGATCTTTTATAAAGCTTCTGCCGCCATTCTGGAATGGATACTATTCATTATCATCATCTAAAAATTCATAACAATTACAGCGTCACAACAGTCACAACAGTGAGATGACACAGTACAGCCTAATTTTGATACCTTTGTCTAAGGATGAAAAATAGCATCACTTCCTAAAATGAGTTTCCTGATCCCCCCTGATTGTTGTATTCAATAACATCTATATTTACAGGTTTACATCTTGCAGACCCTCCGCAGAATATAAGATCCCTGAGGGCAGGTACTATTTTTATTTTTGTCTTTAGATCCCCACACATAAATGTCTTGAATTCAATGGATCTTCTAGTAGATGCTTAACAGCTAGGTCCTTCCCTGTTGTATTAGGCTTGTCTGAGTCCTTTCGACGTAGAAAGGGGTGCAGTGACCCCTTCTGGCCACTGGAGGACGAGCTGCAAATAAGCAGCTATTTCCCATAAGTAAAAGAGGCCATTCTCTGCCTTATTACTTACCTAGCCTTAATCACTGAATGGGCGTTGCCTCAGTCAGAGCCCTGTTAAAGACCTTTGCTGAACAAGGCCAAGGCCTCCCACTGCACCCAGGGAAATCGCCAGTCTTCCTGATCTATATATCTCACCACTGGACCCAGATGGCTCCGGAGTAGAAAGTGAGGCTGGTGACCTTGCACAGCCCTCTCCCTCACTCAAATCCAATTCACTTACATTTCATGGCATCACTTCCCTGATGTCACCATCCTCTTCAAGAAGGAAGCACAAACAACATTTCCCATAACAATGAATCCATATTTTAATGCAAATTGGAATGTGTGTGTATGTATCTCTATGGCTTTGACTAGTCATTCTCATCATTTTAAAGCTAAATCCTCCCCTCAAAAAACCCATCTGTCTAAGGGCTTACAGCTGTTCCTTCAAGTTTTTCTGAAGGAGAATACAATCCAGGGCAACTATAGGAGGGAAATCAGAGGGCTCTTGGTTCATCCTGACACCCAAAATAGAACATTTCACAAATGGGAATAGAATAAACACTTTCTATGATAACAATGTCACATAATTAATGACAAGTACAAATTAATTACAGATTCATAATCATGTAAAATTTTTCAGGCATTCAGTCAAGCACTTAGTTAACAAGTAATTATTAAGCTTCAGATGATACTCAACCCAGTCAGAGAGAGGTATCAACCCTCATTTCTAACGAAATCTTATTGTTCCAAGGCTGTTTCTAGCAGCCCTACTGCTTTACCTAATGGGATATAGTATTCTTTGCTGTGGGTATAAAGTAATGAGTACCCTGTCACTAGAACTTTCCAAAATAAGTTAGATGTGCCCAAGCTAAGGACATCGTAGCAAAGATTTGTGTATTGGGCGTATAACTCAACCAGATGACCTCCAACTTTCTTCCTAAGCTAAACATTTCTGCTTAGCTTCAGGAAAGGCCTTTGGAATTTAAAAAAAAAATCATTACTTCCTTTAGAAAGTAAATTTAAAGGAAGTCTAGATCAGCTTCAAAAGTGGCACTAAAGATTCATCATGGAGTGGGGGGAGGAAGTAATTAAGCAAGGAACAAGATAGGGAACCCAGGAATTCAATACAACAGCTATTAAGAACCTACTAAATGTATAGCACCCTTAATGATACTGGTGGCTACCAAGATGAATACCACATGGTCCCTGCCTACAGCGAGCCTGGAATCTGGCTTGATTTGAGAAGCAATCATGTATTCATTAAACTGTTATAAGTATTGTAACTCTCCCAATGGTAATTACAATCATTCATATATAAGCATAAGCATGCATTTTATATGAACCCCACTCCTCTCTGCCTTTGTCTGAAGAGAACTATGGATAGAGAACACTATATATACTGTCAGACTTATTTAATGTGTTGACTAATCCTGGAGAATGATTTTTTTTCTTTCTTTTTTAATTCTTTACTGTAAGGGATGGCTCTCTGAGCAGGGGAGTGACATAGTTAGAAATCTAGATTATATAAAAACAAGAGAGATCAACAAAAATAAAGTGAAATGCATTTTTTCAACCAAAGAATTTTTGAAAATTAACCATTCCTTTTGGATGATACATGGCATTGCTTCCCCCCTCCCCCACAAACTTACATAAGTTCATGTAAAGCCAAACATCCTTCCCTGTCAGAGTCCAGGAGATAACAGAATAATTCCCCATCTCACACACACATCCCTGAATGCTGTATATGTCTGCATACGTGATCTGTCTGTGTCTTTCCACTTTATGAGCTGAGTGCACAAAGAGGACTGTATCTGAACTTTAGTCTCCCCAAGTGACTAGTCCAAGTTCTGCACATAAAGTTTATGTATGTGTGTCTCCCTGGCCTGGTCTGCACTACAAGACATTACTCAAAAATCAGGCCACATTAAAGGAAAGACTGTGAGATGCCCAAACTACTAGTGCCCCACCCTACCTCCAAAATGCCTTGGATTAATTTTCTATACACTCAGGACCTACTTTAATATGTGCACATTGCTTCCTCACCCCCACCCCCACCCAAGAGAATGTGAGCACTTAGGGCAGATACTACCTCACAGCTGTCTTTGTAACCTTATAGTGCCTGGCACATGAGACATGTCATAAATACCTCTCAATCAACTGATTTGACTGTGCCTTCCTAATTCCAACACCGATCGCCACTTTACTATTAGAATCTCAATCTAAATCCTTTAAACAGGTTATGACGAGCAGAAGCAAACATTCTTTATCCTCCTTCTATAGGGATTCAGTACAAACAGTACTGGTTCTATTGTCAGAAGGTCAGGGTTTGAGTCCTTCAGTCCCAGTCCTGACACACAGTAGCTGAGTAACTATAGCAATCCATACAACTTTTTTGAGTGGCAAAATTGGGAACATAATACTTGTCCTACCTATCTGTCCAAGAACACAATAACATAGCCTAGTATTATTAATCCAACATCCCATCTATGCCCAGGACCCTCTCAGACTATATTTCCAAGTGTTTGAAATGAAAACAACTGATTTTTATTAATATTTTGGATGATATTTATTCATTAATTATTATTTATTATTAATTTTCTTCTGTTCAACCTCTATAAACAAATAAATAAATGAATAAATAAATAAATAAATGAATGAATGAATAAATGAATTAAGTGAATGAATAAATAAATAAATGAGTTAAGTGTTTATTTGGTTAAAAGTGGCGAGGGTAACAATTCTAATAGGCCATTAATCATTGTGATTCAAATTTCTCAAATCCCAATGAATTTCCCAAGGGATACACTACATATAAGGATGCAAAGGTTGGTCAAAAGTTTCATGTGATAGCACCTGTAAACAAGTCATAAAGGATAACTTGAACAAATTCATGTTTGTTCAACTAACATGAATTCAGAACTTGTCTCTCCCTCATTTAGTGCAGGAGTTCTTAACCTGGGTCCACGAACTTTCTTTTAAAAATATTTAAGCAACCGTGTTTCAACATACTTGGTTTCATTTATAATCTTAGGTCTTTTACGCATTTAAGAAGCGATATGCTGAGAAGGGGTCCTTAGGTTTCACCAGACTGGCAAAGGGATCTATGACATAAAACAGGTTAAGAAGCCCTGGGCTAGAGGGCTTATCACCTCTTGCTTTCTGATCATGTCATATAGTATATATTAATGCAAATCTCAATGCCTACTTCAAAATAAGCATTAGATCCCCACATGGCAAACCTGCTGACAATAAAGGGGAATTCCAGGACTGTACATTTTTGGAAATTCCCCTCGACAGTTCTGTAGCTAGCCAGACAACGGCCAGTGCTCACCTCGGCATGAAACACCTTGACTGTCAATAACTTGTTTGCAGACACTGCAGACTTTGGCCTTCTTAAAGGATTTATTCTTAAAAGTGTGGGCACCCGAAGCAGATTCTTCTGACTGGAAAAAAAAAAAAGAAGACATTAGCTTTCTTTCATCATGTTCTTGATTTTTATCTACAAAAGACAAGTGGAGTCTTTAAATGTCCCAAACATGAATGATAACACACAGAAGAAAAATAAAGCATAGCCTAACCAAATATATGTCAATGAGGCCTAAAATACCCACAGGCACATGTCAAGTACCTTAGATTATAAGTTTTTAGATTTAATATTTATATTTGCACATGTGTTTAACTGGATTTGTACACTCTACAGCCCCAGGAGCATTTGATCACTGTGGAATAATAAGAATGGGAGTAATAATGATGAATTCCCCTGCATATCACCGACTAGGCTAGTAGTCAACTCTGATCGCCACACTGTAAAATAGAGTCCATGGAGGTTTTCCAAGGTTGACTTCTTTTTCTAATTTTTTAGTTAGGACATATCTGGTGAACATCATTACTTAGGCAAGAAGCATTTGGCCCCTCTTTTTTGTGTGTTCAAAATAGTTATCTCTCTTTGAACTCTTACAAACAACCTTTTGCTGTTCAATGTGTTTATTTGGTGTTTATTAAATTCAGAATAACAAAATATTGGCTTGAATCTCACACACACACACACACACACACACACACACACACACACACACCACAAACTTCTCTACATAGGGAAGGTTTTATAGAAATCTTACCAATAAGCAAATAAAAAATTGCCATTCTTTCATCATTTGCCACCGGATACAGCACTGACTGAAAACTTGTCTCCCCTCTATCATGCTTAGGCAGTCATCAAGATGACAACCATCAATTCAACCAAAGCTGCTAAAACAGTCTCTGTATATGGTATGTGTAGATCTACAACTATATACAAACACAAATATATCCAGTCTAAAGTAATAAAATGTACAAGTTAACAAGATCTTAAACGACTTTCCATCACTTAGAGGATTTATGGGCCAGTTAAACTGGCTGGTTAGACTGAGCATGGTGCCAATGAGAGCACAGTAAAAGATTCAGGCCCTCGGTCTCCCAAACAGAGAAAAATGTTCCTGTGACCCCAGGCTACATCCATAAAACCTGTAAGCTGCCTTTCAAATATATCAAATGGGAACTGACCACCTGCCGTCACTGGGGGGAAAATGAAAGTTGAGAGCCTGAGTCTCTATCGTTGTCTTCATAAAGAAAGACTGTCCAATGTTATAGACACTCAATAAATGCTTATTAAGTGTACATTATAACATACAGGATTTCCAAAAGCCATAAAATAGTTTTTCATTTAAGAGGGGGGAGGGAGACCCTTCATTGCCCCTCATAGGGCCCCAGATTATCCTCCATCTCTTCTGAAAAAAAAATTGGGAATTCCATCTATGTTCCCTGTAGCCACACATCCTCATCATGTATTCATTCTAAATTCTTTGCAATCAGGCTTCCTACTCAGAACTATAGCTGCCAAATCAGTAAACTTTTTCTCAGGCCTCATCCTTCTTGATCCCTATTGCTGACCATTCCCCTGTGCTCCTAGATGTTTTCCTCCTTCAGCTGTCATGACATTGCTGTCCTCTGATTTTCCATCCCCCCCACCCGACATCTGCCTGCTCCTGCTCAGTCTCCTACCATCATCATCAGCAGCAGCAGCATTTATATAGTGCTTTAAAGTGGACAGAGCTAGATATCAATGCAGTATCTTAACATGAGCCACTCACACCAGCCCCATGATAAAAGTGACATCCTTTACAGATGAGGAAATTAAAGTTCAGTAAGGTTTCAATGACTTGTCTAGTGTCATAAAGTAAGTATCCAGGACACACAGTTGAAATGCAGTCTTTCTAACTCGGAGTCTGTTAGCATATTCACAGTGCAATGCTTAGTCATCATCCCTGTGCCACCCCCAAAGTAAAGATGTAACACAAGGACACCTCCTCTCTCATATAAATAAACCACTATTTATTCTCCCTCTACACAGATCTCAAAAGCTCCCATGGGTTCAACTATTATCTCTAGGAAAATGGCTCTTGAATCTGTATCTCACCATCTCACCAGATATCCAGTTATCTATCATAAACTACTTGTTGTATTATCTCTCCTCCCAGATGTAGCCTGGGTACCTTAATATATCCAAAACAGAATTCTTTATTATCTCTCCTAAACCCACCCATCCTCCAAGTTTCTCACCCTTGAGTTCCTTGATTCTCTCTCTCCCTCTGCATGGGAATAATTCAGTTTGACTAGAGAAGAGAATGTATTTGAGGGAATAACACGAGATAAGGATAGAAACCAGATTCAATCCAACGGGGGGGGGGGGGGGGGAGAGAAACACCTGTTACCAACAAAGTCCAATCAGTTGCCAAATTTTATCAATTCTACTTCCCTAGCGTAACTCACTCATATTCCCTTCCCCACTTAAACAGCCACAGGTTGACATGATGATCAAATTAGATATTCATAAAGTGCATAACACAGTCCCTGGCATATAGTAGGCACTGAATAAATGCTTGTTTCTTTCCTTTCCTACAGTTTGTTTACCAGGCCCACAACTATTAATTTTATTCATGCATGCATTCATCCATTTAATACCTTTCACCTGACAGCCTCCTCATTAGACTCCCTGTCTCTGGTCTTTATACTCTAATCTGTCCTTTACACAGGTGCCAAAATAATCTTCCTAAGGCACAGAACAGACCACGTTACTCCCCTGCTCAAAAACATCCAATGGTTTCCCATTGCCAAAAGGAAAAGATACAAATTCCTCAAAATCTTCTATCATCTGGCTCTTGACTTCTTTTCTAGCTTTATTTCATATTACTAGAAATTGCAAACTTGAATTCTATTTACCCCATAAACTAAGACTGTTAGCTATTATCCTCATACTCTATCTCCAGCCTCCAGCCTAGAATTCATTACCTCCTCAGTTTTCTCTCTCAGAATGCCCACCTTCCTTCAAGGCTCAATTCAGTCACCACCATGGGATGTCTCCTCTGATCTTGCTAGCTACTGGCATTCACACCCTCATTTCTCCATAAATAGATGGTTGTACACATGGCACTCCACCCTCCAGGGAGAATGGAAGCTCTTTGATGGCAGGAGTTATTTCTGTTGTCATTGTATCCCTACAGCCTGTGTTTTACACAGAATACGAACTTAATAAAAGTTTAACTGAATTGTTGAATTAAGAAATAAGTCACTTATTGTGAACCAAGTATATCTATTGTTTACCTGTGCCGCATGATTAAATAAGGTCAGGAAAATATCTAACTTGCCTCGCAGAAGGGATGAAAATGATAAACTTGCTGAAAATGGAAATTCAGATTCAGGAAATTCATATACTTCAATATATCAAGGGGACAAAATACACGAGCACTCTGTCAAAAATCACACTTGAAGTGAACCCAGTGGCCTATTTTGAAGGCGCATTGTGAACACTAGATCAGGGCAAAGAGGCCCAACTGGAACCCCTATCTTCTCCAAGCTAAAGCAGAGACAACACTGAGCTCCTATTACCCTGAAAACACTTTAGTCATGCAAACATATATCCTCTGAGTTTCAGCACTTAGCTTACACGAACACACCAATAAAACTATAAATAAAATAAAAGCTTTTATTAAAGGAACTGGTAAAATGTGGATCTATTAATGGAAATGTTAAAATGGCCCCAAACTACCCTCCTAATGATTTTTTCTGACAATATGCCATAACAAACAGCCCCAGTCCAATCAGTCTCCTCTCTCCCCACCAACTCCCCCCAGAAGTTTTCGCACCTACCTTCTAATCTGCCTATCAAAATCCTAATCATGGTTCACGGTCAAACTCACACCCTACTCCAGCCCCCCTTTACTGGTCTCCTTCTTATGAACTCCTAAAGCACTCCTTTATTGTCTATACCACTCATTTGCTACCTGGTTACAAACCAAATGGACTCCTATTATTCCTATAGTACCTAGTCCAGTGGATTATTCTGATAAGCAAATGAATGACAAATATTCTGTTAACCCTATGCTGTATTGGATAGAAAGCTGGTCTGGAGGCCAGAGGTCATTATTCAAGTGTCATGCCAGACACATCCAAGCTCCATAACCACTCAATGCCCCCAAGGGAATTCTAATGCTATACACTGCACAGTACTTGCTGATCTGTATTGGCAGAGAAAGTTTCTTTGCTGGCAGGTCTCTCCACTAATGAAACAAAACAACAAAAAACAAAAACAAACAATAACAACAACAACAATAAAAATCCCCATATAAATGTCAACAATTGCTATTCAAATAATTATTTATTCCAGTCCTGAGAATAATTTGCTAGGCAGCTAGGTAGCCAGCACATAAACTACTGGACTTGGAGTCTCATTTCAAAGCAGTCTCAGACGTTTATTAGCTATGTGACCCTGGACAAGATATTTCACTTGTTTGCCTCAGTTTCCTTAACTGTAAAATGAAGGTAATAATTGCACCTGCCTCCTAGGGTTGAAATAAGGATCAAATTAGATATTTGTAGAGTGCATAGCACAGTGCCTAGCATATAGTAAGCACTTCATAAATGCTTGTTTCTTTCCTTTCCTACGGTTTGCTTGCCTGGTCCACAGCTACCTATTAATTTTATTCATGCATACATTCCTTCATTCATCCACTCAACACTTTGTATATGCTTACCATGCATAGAGAACTTCACTAGACTCTGGTAGAAGGCCCAGTTTTGAAGCTACCACTGTTACCATGATTAGAACTCTGAGGAATCCATTTGAAATAGTTTATTAACATCTGCTCAGATTTCATCTACACATAACATCTCTATTATGAAAGGAGAAGGGGGCAGGATCAGGCGCCTTTTGTTTTCACCTGGTACAACTCTTTCATTTCTCCAGAAGAGGTGGGGCCAATGTGCACACAGAAGGAGGTGACAGTAATACTGAAGCATTTAGAGGGCTCAGTTCAGGAATCTAAATTGCATTTAATTGTTAGGAGCAAAAGTTGGAAGAGTGGAGTGCAGAGCTATTGGTTATAGAAGGATTGCCTGAGGGATACCC